ACCGCCCCGCCCCCCCCCCCCCCCCCAAACCCTGGCAGAGGCAGGGCTGGGGGAGCCCACAGCCCCCCGGCACCCTGAAACCGCTCCCCGCCGCCCCAGGAGCCCAGACCCATGCCAAAGTGCCACCAGATCCCGGCCAAAGCTCCACCAGATCCCGATGACCGCAGTAACGAGCGCTTGTGCTTTACCTAGGGGCAGCTGGAAGATGTTTCATCTCCACGTCCGAACTGGCTGGATTTCTGTATTTCAAAAAGGTGGAGGAAACGAGCAGCTGCCATCACGGGCAAAGCCCTCACCACCAGTAAAGGCACGGCCACGAGCCGACGCTTTCCCTGCTGCCCATCATGGAAAAAGATTATTTAGGAGCTTTAAGCAGGGAGCCAGCAACAAAAATTTAAATGACAACAAGGTTTTTGAAATAAAAATATCAAAATATCAAATTAACATTAATGACCCTTCTTCAGCCAACGGCGCTTCCCAAGCGAGGGCCTCGCCGCGTTAAGCTTCACGGCACCTTGGTGGGACACCGAAGCTCTCGGCCCCGACCCAAGGACCCTGCCCGCCCAGCATCGCTGCGGTTTGATCGCGCTTCAGTCGGCCACTGCTCGGCCCAGAGCAAGTTAGAAGAAAAAAAAGAAGTAGCTAAAGGTTTTCCAGTTCTGCTTGTGCGCAGCCTGGAAGACCGATAACTCTGTCCCATCCTTGCACCTTCAAGACAGCAGTGCCCAGCTCCTTCCCTCCTCCTCCTCCTCCCCCAGAACAGGGCAAGCTCACCCTCAAGCGCGGACAAAAACCAGCAACCATTAAGCCATTGGTTCCCAATTCCCGCGTTTCACCCCCGCTGGGCTGGGAGAAGGCAGGGGTTCTCCCCTCCACTTCCAATCATGCCCGGGTTCTGCCCCACCTCAGCGCCCTTCCGAAGGGTTTGGGTGGGGTTCCCCCCTTCCTCCCACCTTCTCTCTGGTATCCTGGCTCCGGGGTCTGTGCAGACCCTGCCCGGGATTTGGTTCCTCGCCATGCAGGCTGCACACAGACCAAGTCCACCCGTAAACGGGGATTCAACCACGAGAGACCAAGGCCACCCATAAATGAGGATTCAACCACGACAGACCACGGCCACCTGCAAATGAGGACTCAACCACAAGAGACCACGGCCACCCATCAATGGGGATTCAACCACGAGAGACCACGGCCACCCATAAATGAGGACTCAACCATGAGAGACCACGGCCACCCATCAATGGGGATTCAACCACGAGAGACCAAGGCCACCCGTAAATGAGGACTCAACCACGAGAGACTAAGGCCACCCGTAAATGAGGATTCAACCACGAGAGACCATGGCCACCTGAAAATAAGGACTCAACCACGAGAGACCACGGCCACCCGTAAATGAGGACTCAACCACGAGAGACCAAGGCCACCCGTAAATGAGGACTCAACCATGAGAGACCACGGCCACCCGTAAATGAGGACTCAACCACGAGAGCGAGCAGCAACAGGCTTCCTCCAGTGACAGCTGCAGCTTGAGCTGCTCCCTTCCTCCTCCTCCTCCTCCCCTAACCCCAGAAAATTAACATCTCCCTTTAGAAAACACAATTAAAAAAAAATAAATAAATAAAAGGAAGGAAAAACCCCGGGGAAACTAACGAGTTCTCACGGTGAATTTTATTTTGTAAGCAACAATATGAACAGGTGAGTAAGCACAGGCACCCTCTGCGGGGCTGGCCTCCGGTCCCAGCACACACCATGAGCAGACGAGGGCAAGCCCCCCCCCTGCGACGCCGCAGTCCTTTGGCACGGCAAGGCCCGGCCTTCAGTATTTGCCATCACCAAACGGATGTGCAGTCTCAGAATGTACCTCCCCCCCCTTCCCCAGGTTAAAAAAACCCCCATCGTACAGCTGCAAACCAGTAAAAAAAATTGCTTCCAGCTTACGGAGAGCGAAATGGCCCGTTGGACTACGAACTGAAATCTCGTTCTGGAGAGAACCAGCTGGTCGTGACACAAAGTACCGTATTTACAACTCAGAAATATAACCGTTGTATACTTTAATTCATAGCAAATTTAATACATTAGTGTTTACAAAATAAATTCTGGACTCGGCTGAAACAGCGTGCTGCTTCGCAAGTTCTTGTTCCTTCCTCACTTTAGCCGGGGCGAGCGGCACGCTCCAGGGCTTCCTCTGCGATCCAGGCGCAGCGCTCGGCCGTCGAGACAGCGGCACGCCTC